CTTCCACAGACTGCGTGGCCTGGGGCTAAGGTTTGGGCCCCAGGTCGACTGCTGAACAGGGTTATTACACAAACAACAAAGCCAACCCCATCGCCTATATATTATTGACCCTTACCTTGTTCACTTCCTGACGAAGTTTTTCAGTAATCTCTGTTTTCTTCGGTTTCATAAGCTGCCCCATCATGGAAAGAATATCCTGACCTCCTTGTGGTTTTGCATTTGCAGCATCTAGGTCGTGGAGCGTCACATCCTGAAGAAGGCAAACAAGAAATGGCATGAAATACAGCACAATTGGATAAACCCTACTCCAGCATCTAGGTCATTGAGAACCCCTACTCCAGGTCCAAAAACAAAACCACCACACAACCCAATTGCATAAACAACAGAAGTTCAATGTTTCCTAATTTACGCTGCATCCTCTATCACCCCGCATGATAAGGACAATTGTACGAGCAGCAGAAGCTGTGTGGCGTTCTCCATGGCCATGCATGATAAGGACAATTGTACAAGCAGCAGAAGTCCAATGTACCTGGCTTATGTCTAGGGTGTTTTTCCAGGCGCCCGGGCACCCCACTACACGCCCGGGTGCCCGGCCGGGTATGACACCCCCGGGCAGCCCCAGCGCAAAAAAAAAAAAAGAAATCAAAAAATCAAAAAATTCCAGGGGAAAAAAATGTTGTGTAGAATTGAAATGCAAACGACTTTTGGCTGAGGGCCACATTATAATTCCTCACAGAATGGGAGATAAAAAAGAAAATAACGGAATCACACAAACGCACCCCCCTTTAAAGTTTAAACCCCTTCAACCCCTTTAAAACCAATTGCAATCAGACTCGTCTCATTCACACTTTTCATGCATGTAAACAGCATCGCAGCAAACTGGCGACATGCGCCCACACAGAACTCAGAGATATGGTGTCCAGATAAGAGTTCACTTCCACTGGCTATGGCGGCTCAGCGCCCAACAACTCACTGTTCACACACCGGATCACCCTTGATATCCCACACGCGACAAGCTGAACACTCACGCAACACACACACACTTCACTCTAACTACAGCTATGGCAGCAATGGCTGCCTCTACCCTATCGCTATGGCTGCACTTCGCCTCTCGTGCCCACTTCGACTTCGGGCTGCTGCAGACCTCCTCGCACAAGCCGCTGAGACAGCGCTTCCGCATGGCTTCCGCAGGAATGAATGAATGGCTGTGCGCGGCCTCTTGATTTATACTTCTGTGACTCATCGGTCTGCCCCTTTTCCCTGCCCCACGGTGCACACAGTCCCAGGCGGTACTTGCTTGACTGGGCTGGACTGACTGGACTGGGACTGCTGACTCTGCACGGTGGACTTCCACCACTTGCCCACTTGCCTCTGCCTAAACGTGGGCAACCTCGAAAGGCCACCACCGGGCCCTTCTAGAAGGCCGTGGACTTGGCCTTTCGGCCCTGTCGCAGCTACGACCTTGACTCTTTAGGACTGGACTAGCTACGACCTTGACTCTTCGAGAAGCCTACAGCTACGACTTCTAGACCTGGCTGGAATCCTACTGGACAGGTCTACAGATCGAACCCAGGCTACCTAGGGACCCTACGACGACCTATCAGCTGTTACAAATACACAGGTCGCGGGTTCAACTCCATGGGTCAACACAGGTACTGTACACAGGTAAGGTGGGGGTCTAGGGATCGAGCCCTGGGATCTGCGTCAGCTACTGCGAACTGGTGAATACCGTTTCACAATTCATACCCCCYCCCCCCCCCCCTTGACAGCCAACTCTCAAAAAAAGAAATGAGCCCGGATTTGGGGTCCTCTGGGAGAGCACAGAAAACCAAATTAAAATTTAAAAAACAAAAAATCTTTTTTTTTTTTTGAACGCCCGGGTGGCTGGCCGCGCGTGAGGATCTTCCTAGGTTTATGTTGTGCATTCTCTATGGCCATGCATGGTCTTATCACTGTAACTCAGAAAGGGCACTAGATAGCCTGTTGCGGCTCCACAACAGAATCCAAATTGAATGGGTGATGCACTTCTGGTTGTGCTCTCTCTCTCTCTCTCTCTCTCTCTCTCTCTCTCTCTCTCTCTCTCTCTCTCTCTCTCTCTCCACCCCCCCAACCAGTCTGAATGAGTCCAAGTTCATTGAGGTTCATGTTGCACTTGAACAAAGTGACCCCATCCAAGTGCATGTCGATGCGTGCAGGAGAGACAGACAGAGACAGAGTACGGTGTTAGGAGATATGGAAGGGCACTACGGTAGTGGACAGATGCCACACACCACAGTGCAACAGGCGTAAACAAAGAGTGGCCTTCACCTTGTTCCAAAAGACCGTTGGGCCAGTTCGCGAGTTTGGCACGCGGTCTAGGCTGCACGCTACCATGCAGCCCAGAATAGCAGCCTATCACCGAAAAACTCATAGGCTGCACATCGCAGCCTATCACAGAAAAATTCACACGACTGTACTTCTGGGCCGGCCCTCGGCATGCAGCCCAGATCACAGGCTTATGCCATTAGCAATTTCTTTAGTGTTGGGGATAGAAAAAGGTGGGAAAAGGAAAGCCAGGATTAGACAGCATGAGGAGCCCGTTCTCTTTGTATAAACACACGAACCCACTTCCAGAACCATCTTGCACTTGTCCCAGAGTCTGCATTTTAGGCCCATCCTTTCGATATGGATGTTCGAAAGCATATCAGAGACAAGCACACACACAAACACAGACAGACATCCCCTATAGCCCCCCACCCTCCCCCCAGAAAATACACACACACACACACACACACGCACACACACACACACACACACACATACAGCAGGCAGAAGTCTCCCCTGCCACTACGCAAAAAGCCCCAATATGGGATCAGGTTGTGGTGGGTAATGTTCCGTACAAAAACTGTACCTGTACAATCTCCTTCTTCTTATGCACTTCTCCCTTAGGAAGTGGCACATATTCCTCGGCCTCCAAGTCAAACTCCGTTGCAAAGGCATCACATCTCCCAACTCTCTTTACAGCGCCACTATTTGCTTCTATATATATGACATCTCCAACAGCAACCTGCACGACAAGAGAGAAGCAAGGAGGACTCTCTCAGGCGTTGTAGAAACAGCACTCGTTATTCAGATGAGTCCAATTGAAGACCTCATACATCAAGTGGCTCCCTCATTCACCGCTAATGCACACAAGCTTTTGCGCCTAAGACAAGACACCCCCATAGCTGCAGGCGAAGTTTTAACCGTAACAACAGTGATATCGTCATGACTAGCAGCCCCATACCGAGGGTTGGATTGCGCCGCGTATTTCTATGTCATTGCTCTCTCGTTCCCAGACATGGACGGACAGACCTTTGCCACAGAAAATTCCTGCAACTTGATTGCACGACTTGCAAACTTCGCAGCGCCCGGTGTCGTCAAAACATAGCATTTTAGAATGATTATGGAACGCCCATACCACGATCAGATGATCGAGAAAGGGCCGCAGCCACCAGGGTAGGAGCCCATGTCTGATGAACTTTAGAAGAGAGTTTAGAAAATAAAATATAATAAGAGTGAGATTGCAAGTCCAGAAATCCCATACGTCCAGTCCATTCCATCGCCACTATGTCTTCCATCACTCTCACACTTTTTAGTTCTGATTGCAGTCAGGTACGTCCATAAAAAGTTTTGGTGCCTGCCCTTCATAGGCTCAGAAACCAGACGTTTCTCTGAATCCTCGTATCATACTGCCACATATCCACCTAAGGGAAAGTCTTTTCATAACGGATGACCCTCAAAACCGTAATCTGCTAATATACGGTGTAAATCAGGTGGCTGTAAAAAATACACACCAAACATATCCCATACTTGAGTCATTTTCAGACCTCCCAATACAAGAGTTAACCACTTTGCATCTCCAAACAACCAAACCCATGGAACCTTGACTTTCCACTCTATGAGTATCAGAAGCTTCTGCATCCAGATACTACTCCACTTCAGTTGCTTTCTCATTACGCAGAAAGGCGCCTCCCGATAGAGTTGTCTTGTTGCAGACAATGGCCAGAAGAGACTCAAACAGAGAGAGAGAAACAAGAGTCCTTGCTAGAAACATGTTATCGGGGAAGAACATCCTTATTGAAAAAGTCAACCGTCGTGAGGCTTGGAAGGAGAGGAGGATAATCAATTTTACTCGAGTTGGAAGGCTGTGTGATGCATCACATATTCCGCACTTTGCTTGCTGGGCACTTGGAAAGACTGGAGGGGTGGATGTCAATAAGTCCTAGAGGTGTCGAGGGTGTTTCTGAAAAAGGAGCTGGACGAACTGCAACTCTGTGAAGAGATGCGCAGCGACCGCCTGCAACTGACCCTTCACTTGAATTTGAAGCGAGAGAAATGACCGCGCCCCGCCTTACCTTTTCTTTCACTAGACTGTCATAGATCGTTGGGTCGAGCTTGAGCTGCTTTGTGCCCTTCACCGTCTTCAGTCCAATAATGACATGGCTGATACTCTTGCCATATCCACCAGTTGTGCTCTCTGTCTCCTCTGGAGTCAACTCTGTCACCTGCCAGTCAATCACACCAGCAACACAGTCACATCACTCAATTGCTTCCTCGCTCCCCTGCTCCTGCAAATGGGACCGTGCATCATATGATGGATATGTAATCAGGAAAAGAGAGGGGGGGAAAGGAAAGGGGGAGGAGGGGGGAAATGGTGGGGGAAGAACAACGTAAAGAAAGCATCCAGCTTGCTGCAAGAACACTAGAAAAGTAGCAGTAGCAGAATACCAAGCATGCGTTGCTGGAAAGCAAGTGACAGGAGGATGATTACCACTGGGGCAAGCATAGACTTTGCCATTTCACATTGCTGCAGAGAAAGCTGCTTGCTTCTCCACCAGGTAGTACGAGCGGATGGTACATAGCAGTGGACACAGCACAGCATGTCTCTAAGCAGATGAAAGACACGCATACACAATCAAGCAAAGGCAGACTTTCACATCTGATAATCCCAACAACAAGCAAGTGCCATCCGAAATCTTGCACCATCCAGAACACTTGATACCATCAAACGGTGGGGGAAGAACGACGTAAAGAAAGCATCCAGTATTCTAAAACGCACTGAGTTAAAACATAACATTGGGACGTACATGCTGGTAACAAACTGATGCACCGCACACTGTCCTTCCCTTCATGTATCTTCTGAAAGGCTAAACAAACAACATTAAAGCACCAGTCTGGCTGACCCCCTAAACTGCCAAACCTAATTATTTTGAGCCCAAACAAATCAAAGTGGTCCCCACCAGGCCAGTACATAGAAAGTGCAGCCTCCTCTTATACCCCATCAGAAGTCTCGGCAGATGAAAGGCACTCTAACTGGTGGTTGGTTTACGAGTTCCAAGCCCATTCATCCACTCCCCCTTTCCCTGGGCAGCACAACCAAGAACCGTGAGACAGCCCCTGCACATAAGATCTATCATACGCTCACTACATCCACACATGCAATTTGCTCACAACACCGCTAACAACCGTTTCCTCCGGCGTGAGTCCCTGGTTACTTAGATCCAAACAAATCATCCACACTTTCCACAAAGGGGTACCCCTAGTTGCCCAGGTTCTGAACCCCTTGAAACAATCCTTTCTGAACCCCTTGAAACAATCCTTTGCGCACAGGAGTCCCCAGTGACTGAGGTTTGACGATACTTTGCTCGCAGAAGCGCCTAACTACTGAATTCTTCTTAACACCGGCGAAAATACTCCGTACACAGGAGTCCTTAGTTACTGAGGCTCCTCCTAATGTAGGTCATTTTTCACCCACAGTAGTCGTTTTGCTTCAACTCGTACACAACCTGGTACTTCAACAAAACTCCTCAGACTCAATTTCTCAGTGCGTTGTGAGCATGCATACAATCAAGACAGTTGCCAACTTCCAAACATGCACATCTTCTGTGAGTCGTTATTTGTTCTGTTCTTTTTTCTTAAACAGTACCTAATGCTCCTGGCTCCTACTGTGAGTCTTCTTTACCAATTACGCCCTCTTCTTGTTGCAGCAAGCAAAAAAGCTGGACACAACTCTCCTGTTCCGTGATCTTACATGCGTCCTACCTCCCCTTCATAAACCTCCTTGTTTTCCTTGATTCTGAGGCCAATTGCCCGACGAAAATTCTCCATCAAAACTTCTGTTTTCTTAACTTCAGAAGAATACACTTCTGAGCCAACCATTGGGCAAAAGGGAACCTGCACACCACATCAGCAAAGGCAAACCCAAAGGAGGAACAAATGATTAGCCTCTTCCGCTGATCAAGCACCTCTTCATGATGCATCATCATCTCTTAGATAGAAAGCGCACGCACGCACACACACACACACACACACACACACACACACACACACACACACGTACATTATGGAACCTGCAGACAACCATCCGTTCCTCGGTCTCACTTTACCCGGCACCATATCTCAACCATCTCCATTCACACTTAAAGAGGATTCTCTCCCCACCTCTTGGATGCCAAACATCATAAACGCGCGTCAGAATGTGTAATGACAAAAACCTCAACAAGTGTGGTGATCTGCGATATGGTACCGATTGAATAAGGAGAGTACGAAAATACAACAGGGAGCACAGGGAGAGTCTTTCCAGACATCAGTAAAACCCAGACTATACAGAGAAGACTACCATCTTTACCCCAATCAGTTGGTTTCGCACGCAAGTGGCATTCAGGAGGTCGTGGGTCCAATTCCATACAGCCGCCTGAGGCGTGCTTGGTGTTCGCCACCCAAAATAGTTGGCTTGCCCTCCCTAGTTGGTCTTGGCAGAGTCCTGCGTTCTCCCAGAGCCCTCCCCCCTGCCAGTCCTAGCTGGGGGTTAGTTCATGTGGCTGGTAGATCTTGGTTGCCCCTGCTTGGTAAATGTGGCCCTGGGTAGGTAGTGTAAGGGGGGAATACTTGACAGAAGAATATAGCTTAGCAAAGTTAGCGTTTAAAAAAAAAAGAAAAAAAAAAAGAACACCCAGTTGTTATGAACTTGGTTGTCTGACGATTTTTACCGCCACTCACACACAGACAATCTCATACACGCCCATACATGCATAAGAGAAGGGGGAGAGGAGACAGAGTCCACACTGCACACAGATCAGAGTAGGCAGCGGAATACAGCTATGCACAGATGGGGAGAAGACACACAGTGTTTCTCTCTCTCTGACACACTCCCAACAACCAATCACAAGTAGAACCGGCGAGGATAACAATTGAAATTACACTGATGATGAGCCAACTCAAACAAGCATCGTAACAGAGTTTGTTCCAGTATCTCGCCACTCTCAGAACTCACACCCCACTCTCTATCCTACACCCAGTTAGTAGCGCCACATCAGAACGGCCTCCCAGAGGCCAGCGCCAACCACCCTGATGAAGAACAGGTCCTGCGATGAAGTCTTCAGTGTAGATGGACAGGAACAGGCAGCTATGGCTGCCACCACCCACGAGTACACAGTGTAGAGCCTCGATATAGCCCGGCCAGACGCAGATACCCCCAGGGGTAGACGCGCTGAGGATGCCCCAGCTATGGCAGACTCAGACTGGGCCGGCTATGGCTGCTGTCAACGGCGAGGTCTCAGGGTGCCGCCTGCAGACAGTCACCGCCACCAACTTGCTTGGCTTCTCCAACGCTGCTTCGCGAGAAATGAACTCCCAAAAGTCCTGAACCGATGGGCCTAATCTATCTATAGACTACACTAGACCTCGACCGGACTGACTGACCGACCGGTACCGTTGCTGTTTCGGCCTCTCGGCCTCTACCGGACCCGGCTATAGGCTATAGGACCGTCTATCAGTATAGGCCACTTAGGGCCTGTCTGTCCTAGGGGTAGCCCGGGCCTGCTATACACAGTTAGGGTAGCTGTAGGAATTTGGGTTAGTACTGGGCCTATATTTTCCCAGATTTACAGATATGTCCCTCACGAATTTCCTTACAGGTAGGTCTCTCGGTTAGCCCTCAGCCAAACAAAATTGCGAATCTAACCTACTGCTGTACTATACAGCCTCGCAGTCAGTCTCAGCAGTAGAAATCAGCAAGTCATTGCACAGTGATTACAGTGTATTCGGGGCAACTTTCAGTTTAGACACAGTGATAATGTGCCGGGCATTCTATTCGGATGAAGACAGTAGCACAAAAAGGCTAGGTGACCTGGGCGGGTGAGAGCTGGCTCTGGCTGCCCAGGTAGCCCGCCGATGCAATTTCCCAGGCATCCCGAACGCAAAAGCGAAAAAAAAAAAAAAAAAAAAGGTCTGGAAAACACATTTCTGGACAACTGCTGTACAAACGACTTTCTCTTCTCTATCATATTAAAGACTAACCCGGTTCCCGCGTACCACCAATCCACGAAAGCCTGAAACCAGGCCAGGCCAAGGCCACAAGGGCAGAAGTGCAACGGGGTTGGACCCATGCTGGTCGCCCGATCGGAGCGTTCTGTGTGTCGTTCGCTAGGAGGGTGGTTCAGTTTTGGCCATTTGAATGTTTGACGTACGGTGTACTGTTTGTGATTGGCTCTGCACATGTGAATCATGTGGAGATTTATTGCGTTTTGTGGTCGAGGGTTGCTGTTTGCTTTTGGCCATGTGTAGATTCGTTCCATAGGCACATAGGCAGGTAGGTATGCGGGTACATAGGTAGGCAGGTACATAGATACGTGGGGAGGCAGGTACGTAGGTAGGCAGGGAGGCAGGGAGGCAGGGAGGCAGGGAGGCAGGGAGGCAGGGAGGCAGGGAGGCAGGGAGGCAGGCAGGCAGGAAAGCAGGGAAGCAGGGAGGCAGGGAGGCAGGTAGGTGGGTAGGTACGTGGTGTAGTTGGATGGGTGGGTGGGTGGGTGGGTGGGTAAGTGGGCAGGTAGAAATGCAGCATACCCACCTTACTTCCTAGCTCTTGAGCAATCCCCAGAGCGAGAGCAGTTTTCCCTGTTCCAGGTCCACCTGCAAGAAGCAGCGCTCTTCCTGCCATCTTCTTCTGACGGATCATGTCAACCACAAGCCCTGCTGCTTCACGACCCTGCTCCTGCCCCACAAAACCGGCAGCAATTGGCAAGGCAAAGCCATCTTCCTGGAAAATGAGCAATGAGCATTCCATCACCTGTCAGTCAGAATGACGCATCATTCATTAACCTAGAATGCTTCAAGCTGAAACGGTATTCACCAGTTCGCAGTAGCGAATGCAGATCCCAGGGCTCGATCCCTAGTTCCCCGTCTTACCTGTGTACAGTACCAGTGTCAACCCGTAGATTTGAACCTGCGACCTGTAGGACCGCCAGTGGTAGGTAGGTTTTCGTAGGTCACAGGGTAGAAGGGAATCGAACTGTAGACCTGTAGGGTAGGAGTCTAGACAGTTCCGAAGTCGTAGTTGTAGGATGTCTGAAGGGTCAAGGTCGTAGCTGCTACTTACCTGAAGGGGCAAAGTCGTAGCTGCTACGGTACCGAAAGGCCAAGTTAGAGGTTTCTAGAAGTGGCCTTTCGGAGTGAGCCTGCGTTGAACAGAGGCAAGTGGTCAAGTGGTGGTAGGCCACCTCGCTGAGTCAACAGTCCCAGTTAGGCAGTCCGGTCCTGTCCAGCAAGTACCGTCTGGGACTGTGTGCACCAGGGGCCAAGGGACACAGGGCAGACCAATGCAGCGCCGAAGTATAAATCAAGAGGCTGCGTCCAGCCATTATTCATTCCTGCGGAAGCCATGCGGAAGCGCTGCCTCAGCAGCTTGTGCGAGGAGGTCTGAAGAAGGCCCGAAGACGAAGTGGACGAGAGTGACGTACTGTAGCCATAGCGATAGGTAGTGGCAGCCATAGCTGCCATAGCTTAGTGTAGAGTGCAGAGTGTGTGTGCTGAGTGTGTGTGCTGAGTGTGTGTGCTGAGTGTGTGTGCAGAGTGATGTGTGTGGGACATCCAGGGTGATCCAGAGTGTGAACAGTGAGTGTTTGGGGCGCACAGCCGCCATAGCCAATTACAAGAGAACTCTTATCTAGTTACGATATCTCTGAGTACAGTGTGGGCGCATGTCGTTTGCTGTTCTGCTGTTCACGTGCATGAAAAGTGTGAATAAGTCGAGTCTGATTACAAAGCCACACAGCAAAACATGAAAGGATCATGGAGCAGGCTTCCAGTGCACATAATAATGAACTGGAAAGTAGCAATCAATCTTCCGAGAAAAGAGGATGCACTGCACTCAGAAAGGATGAAGAACGATCTTGATAACATCCAACGTTCAGCATCTGAAGGACCAACCAGCCACCCTGAGAGGCTGAGACACAACGGAGGGCTCATAACATGAATGGCAAGCAACCCTGAGAGCATGCACAAAGCAAACTCCAGCTATCACAGGCAGAAGTCCATGGCACACAAAGTCAATTCCCATCTGGCACGTACACAGCTTGTTGCGAAAAGAGAATGCAGTCCAGAAAACTCTGCGGAAGAGGTCAGCAGCCACAACCCTGCCACTCCCCATCAAATGCAGCACCTCAACGGCAGAACAACTTGAACTGCGTGCACAGGTTAACTCCCCTCCCCCCCCAGGTGATGCAAACGACAAGGCTAAGATGATCTGCATCATCAAAGACTGATGGGGCCCCATTTCCCTTTTTTAACCCCTCACCAACACGTAGGGGGTCACAAAAGAAGATGGGGGAGCATACCCAACAGCAAGAAAGAATGCAGACCCGTCATTAATGCTAAGCCCACAGGAGAGAGAACTGCAGAGGGGTTACAAAAAGCATGCAGACAACAGTAAGCCCACAGGAGAGAGAAGTGCATCCGAAAGACAAAAGATAGAGAAGTCCACAAAAAAAGAAACAGCAACAAAGAATGCAGAGCCGTCATCAATGCTAAGCCCACAGAACAGAGACCCGTATCTGAAAGACAAAGGTAGAGAAGGTGGACAGCAAACAGAAGAAGGCAGAGGGCAAACTGGGCCAGAAGCAATGAAACATTCACACGCCAGCACCTCAAAGCTGAAGCCCATTCCGTGAGAGGAGGAGGTCGAGAAGGGCGAACGGAATAGAAACAATGACTGGAGGCATTACGCTCTCTTTATTATTCATTACCTTGAGGCCAAGTCCTTTGATATGAGTGTGTGTGGCCACTCGATGAGTCTTTGTCGTCGACTGGACTTCTTCGATCCTCATTTTGATGGAACACAGGTGCTCTTCTTTTTAAGCAGCCCTGAAACGAAACAGAGCAAGATCACACATTACCTCCCAGGAATGAAAGGTGAAAAACTCGCGCAGGATCTAACGATGAACAACAAACAAGGACAAAATAGAAGTCTAGCAATCAAGAGAAGGAGAGGGAAGGAGAGAAACGAGGGAGGAAAGGAGGTTGGCGGGAAGGAGTCTGCTTTCCCACTTTCAGAATCAACAACAAACAGACCACGTCGCTTTGACCTGGACACGAACACAGCCACCCATCAATCTCCGCTTGCAGAAAAGCTCCCGAAAGATGCAGCGCGATGACAAAATTTAATAACATTATTAACATACACAAAACTTCACGGAGAACCCCTTGACAAGCTGGAAAGAGACGTTAAGACTCGGCCACGGCCCCTCGAACATCTGGCAAATACACTACCCAGCCAGTGCCTATCAGGATTCATCTCAGCGCCTTCAGATTGACTGATTAAGGGAGGAATTCATTGATTAATTGATTGATGGGGGGGAGTGTAAGCTTCGTTCGCAAAGACTACGTAGCGAGCCCATATAACTATACATTTCACCTGTGTTGAGGCCCCCCTCTAGAATTTTTAGTCCAATATCAGACGATAGGGAGTGCGCAAGAAAGCATGAACCGACCTGAAGTCATGCAGAAGCTGACATAGAACACTTAGATGGGTCAGGATCGCACGACAAACCAGGCCAACAATCATTATTGACAAAAACAATCAACCCTTTTGGTTTGAGACCTAGCCTGGGTCCTCCGAATACAAGACTTCTCACAGAATAAAAACAAAACAGTTGTTGCCTCTTCCCTATCTATGACCGACCCATGGGCAACACAATTCTAGATTTGATACTATCATTCTAGACGCCATCACAGGAGATGCCCGGGCCCTCTCTTTCGTCCAAAATAGTTCGTCACCGTCTGACCAGCTCACAAGTCTCACTTCAAGCAAGACTTGACTTTACTTTCTCGCATTTCACAGTTGATGACCCCGCGAAGCAAAGCAGGGACTATTCTCAAGAAATGGGCCTTCCCAGAGATCCTCCCTCTTCTCAAGGTGGGCCTACCGTATGAGTCGTGCGGGGAGGAAATGAGGGAGCATTTCACAATATTAACCTTATGAGACTGTGAGGGCCTCCCTGAAGAAGCAAGCATACTCTTTGTTTCATTATAACAAGTAAACGCGACGCGGCTACGCCGCGGCAGGGGGGAACATACGTGATTAAAGAAGTGAGTGACACTCTCTCTCTCTCTCTCTCTCTCTCTCTCTCTCTCTCTCTCTCTCTCTCTCTCTCTCTCTC